TGAAACATCCTACTTTGGAAATTTTATATAAATAAAATCATACTATATATGATTTTTTATATCTGGCTTCTTTCAGTTAGCACTAGTATGTATAATAAATGGAGCCTTGAGGCATTTGAAGAAAACTAATGTCGATTTATAAAAGCCTGACTCTGAGAAAAAGTACTGCATATTCATAAACTCATGAGATAGTACTGGGCCTCACCTACAGATTCACAATTCATCTACATACAGATGGCAAATGAAACCATGTGAGTGGATGGACTTGCCTCAGGTAGAGGATATAGAGGCAGCTAGGACAAAGTCTGGAAGAACTTCAACATTTGAGGGAGCAGTGGTAGAAGAGGAGCCTTCAGTTTCCTCCCTGGAGATGATGATGATAAAATCTAACTTAGTCAAACCGTTAGGGCCATCACTTGGGATGAAAACACCTTCTATTTTTTCACAAGGTTTGTAAGAGAATTAAATAGGACAATATATGTAAAGCAACTAGTTCCTGGCCAATAGTCAGGACCTCAGTAATGGTAGCTAGCAGTGTTACAATAATGAAATTTTTTTTGTACTGTCCATGTGTCGCATCTCTGTTGTCAGTTGCTACATTTGTTGCTTTATTTCATTATCTTATTAGAGGCCCAGTGCATGAAAATTCATGCACTGGAGAGGGCGGTCCCTCAGCCCGGCCTGCCCCCTCTCACAGTTCGGGAGCCCTCAGGGGCGGGAGGTGACCCGGCGATCAAGGGAAGGCGACGCCCCATCACACCTCTGCTGCTGCCACTGCCGGCAGCACAAGCTTCGGCCGGCCCTGGTTACCTGAGCCTCGGGCGGCCCTGGGCGGCAGGGGCTGAGGAAACTGGCGGACTCCAGAGGCAGACGCAGCTGGGGGGAGGGGACTGTGGGACTCCAGAGGCAGGTGTGCGGCAAGGCTGGGGGGACTTGGGCACTGCCATCTTGTGGCTGTGGGCACCACCATATTTGGGGGTGTGGCAGTCAATTAGCATATTCCCTCCTTATTGGCTGTGGGCACCACCATCTTTGAGGGTGGGACAGTCAATTAGCATATTCCCTCCTTATTGGCTGTGGGCACCACCATCTTTGAGGGTGGGACAGTCAATTAGCATATTCCCTCCTTATTGGCTGTGGGCACCACCATCTTTGAGGGTGGGACAGTCAATTAGCATATTCCCTCCTTATTGGCTGTGGGCTCTGCCATCTTCGACGGAAGGGCAGTCAATTAGCATATTTCCTCCTTATTGGCTGTAGGTGCCGCCATCTTTGCAATGGTGTGAGGGTCAATTAGCATATTCCCTCTTTATTAGATAGGATGTCATATCCAGGACTGCCTATTTTGAAATAAGCATTCCTACCCTCTTAAAAATCAGTCTGTTTTTAATTGTGTTGTTGTTGTTCCCAGACTTGACTAGCTTCTCCCATAATCCCAAAGGAAGCCAAAAGAATCTAAATTAGGTGGAGAGAATCTAGAGGCCAGACTTCCTGTGTGGCTGATCTAAGAAGGCAGTTCTGGATGCACACTGGAAAATGTTCTCACTTCCACAGCTTGGGAGAGAACTGTTCTAGTCCCCGATCATCAAAACAATAACATTTTTTTAGAGCTCTCTGTTTTGATATATTGGCAAGGGAAAAGTCACTTCATTTCTCAAAAACACTATTTTTCCTTCCCATTTTGGTAAAGAATATATAGTTGACCAAAAAAATTCATGTCCCAGCCCAAAAAAAACTACACTGTAGAAAATTACTTTTAGTTCTGGGGTCATAAATGAAGAATCATTAGACATAGTGTTTTGTTAAGCTCATCAGATTATCATATACTAGTGGCCCAGTGCACGAAATTCATTCAAGGGGCTCGGCTGAGAGCCCTGGCTGCCTCAGCCTTCGCAGCCCCAACCTCGTCTGGAAAATTGTCCAGAAGGATCTCAGGAAGGACGTCCAGAAGGTCGTTCAGCTGTCTGGTCCAATTAGCATATTACATTTTTATTGTTATAGATAGTGTCTAACACTTGTTATCCCTGTAAGGTCTTTGACCATCATTTTTTCAAAGAATTTCTTTGAAATTTTAAAATAAACTCTAAAAAAACATACCCACACCTTTCCATTCACTTTTTTTATTGTTTACACTATTGCAACTGTCCCTATCCCCCCAACCCCCCGCCTTTGCCCACCTCCACCCAGCCTTTGCCCATCCCCTTCCCTCTGGCCTACTAACTTTTAACACAGTTGGTGCAATTGTTTCTTCCTGAATCTTCTCAAAGTGCTGCTAAGATATGAATGACTTTTACATTTTATAACTTTGTTTGCTTTATTCTTTCAGAGTTTTCTTCATACTTTCCTAAACTTCCTCAATCTTTTCCACTTTTTATGGGAGAAAAAGGTTTTAATGATTTTTTTTTTTTAGTTCACCAGTTGGATTTGTTTTGATTTTCTGGAATGTCACATCTTTAGTGTATTCCTGTATATATTCCATATATAGCTGTATCCTACATATGGGAAACATGACTTTCAATGAAACTAAAAATACAAATTTGCATAGCATTTTGTGAACATGTGCAAATTCTTTTATCCTTTAGTATTATTGGCTGATTTGTTATAGGCTTGAGAGATCAAAATCCAAAAGGAATGTAACTTGTATTCAACTCCACAATTAGAAATGATCCTGGGAATGGACTCTGTCTTCTGAATCCCGATCCAGTGTACTTTTCACTGGAAAATGGACAACTCATGACATTCATAACCTAGTTCATATTGGCTATTGTCCAGATTGGTGGTCAAAAACAGGACAGTCTATGAAAAACTACTGTTGCCTGTTTTGTTACTAATTTAATACAAGAATTACTGGAATTTGCATGTATTTTCTGATCTATTTGGTAGGGCATGCTATTTCTTAATCATGTTAAAGTTCTAGAAAATAAAACGTAATATAATAATAGCATTTGTTTTATGGTCCTATAAAAACCAGTAGTGATTAGTTTATATATATAAAATGAATATAACATTCATTATTAACCCAAAGCTAAATTAGAAGCATGGAGGAACCAATTAAGAGACTCAGAATCCCAAGGAAAATTAAAGGAGGAAATGATGATTGTAACTGATATTTTGTCTCTGTAAGGAGGTAAGGCAGAGGTGAGAAGGAAGAAAGTTTTTAACAAAGTTAAAAATGAATGGAGCCAAAGTGTCCTAAATATTGTAGGTGACTAGCTTTTTAAATGTCAATAACTTTGTTTTCCTAAAATTTCTCCTGTGGAGAGAAAGGAAGAATACGTTTATGTGGGACGTATTTTTTTAAACAAACATTGACATTTTAAAGACCTAAATGTTTTATACGAAATAACTATGAAAATGCAAAATTAGACTCAACAGATGCACTTTGGAGATTAAATTTGAGTAGTACCCTAAAAGCCAAATAATGAGTGACTCAGATAATGTGAGAAATTTGGGCTGACTCACATGTTTTGGAAGAAGGTGTCATCAAATCACTGATTCTGTCATGATTTTCCCTTTGTTCCACCTGATAGTGCCAAACAAACCCTGAAGTCAGTGACTTTTCCACTCCAATTTGTCAAGAAGACTTTCCAAACCACCGGAAAAATACCTAAGGTTTTGAATATGTAGGCATTTAGCATGTTTGAATAACACTCACTAACATGAGAAACACAAGTCACACATGTAACTGTGGAACATATAGGAAATGTGAATCTCAAGCAAAGCCTTGACAGGGTAAGAATGGAGAAACGAAGACTGGGCTTTGTCCAGGATGGCAGAAAGGAGTCTCCTTATCTCTACCCTACCTGCATGATGCTTCCTGGGAGATATTTTAAGTCAACAAATATTATCTGGTACTTGCACTTGGTATAAGGGACATACAAACGTAGGAACCTTGGCCTCTGTCATAGAAAGACTGACAGCCTAGCAGGGAAACAGACACAGGAACTAGTAAGTGAAACAGGTTGATACAAGAGCAACATTTGGGAGAAGCACAGGATAGTCAGTTTCTTACACCACCAGGACTGAGACAGCCTCGCAGAGGAGATGACATTGGCTAGGATGTAAAGGATGAATTAACATTCTAAATATCAACAAAATAGGAAAGGCATTTTAGCCAGAGGTAAGGACCACATAAGGAAGCAACAGATACTGGACTACAGATGCTGGGGTATATTCTAAGAATGGCTAACAATCCAGTCTAGCCACAGAATTGAAGAAATAGAAAAAGGTGAGATGGGAATATGGGATACAAAGATGTATCAGGCCAGTGTAGCTCTCCTGGTATGTTTTTTTCCATATTCTGTGTCTTGGAATTATCCAAGTCTCAAGAATATATCTAACCTGGAAATTGCTATTCTTCTAAATCTGTAACTTGGTTTTTTGGCGGGGCCAATTTGAGTATGAATTACAATATTCTAAGAAAAGCTTGCAATACCATGCCCTGGTCTCCTTTTCATTCTTTTACGTTCTTCTGTTTCTTATGGTGCTAAGAACTTTCAGCGCTGAATCTTTGCTAGACATCTGTTGGAAAATATAATAGTGGCCCTGCATAGCTCAGTGATTGAGCATCGACCTATGAACCAGGAGGTCACAGTCCAATTCCCTGTCAGGGCACATGGTCTGATTACGGGCTCCATCCCCAGTAGCGGGTGTGCAAGAGGCAGCTGATCAACGATTCTCTCTCATCATTGATGTTTCTATCTCTCTCTCCCTCTCCATTCCTCTCTAAAATATATATTTTTGAATATGTGGGACGTATTTTTGTGTGTATATATATACACACACACACACACACACACACACATACATATATAATAGTGAATTATATGCACATACACACTTATATATATATATACACCCGATTGAATAAACTTTCCCTGCTTTTTGAACATTCAAATTTAAGGGATGTGTTGCAACTTTTAAATTATGTTTATATGAATGTTGCCAGGAACATTCAAATAAAAAATAGATTGCTTTGACCCTTTGTTGTTTTCCCACAGGATTGAAAAAACGTACAAGGAAGGCCTTTGGGATACGGAAGAAAGAAAAGGACACTGATTCTACGTAAGTCTTTTAAAAGTTTGCCTCCTCAAAGAGATGCTGTTGTCATTGTCGCTTAGAGGACATACAGTCTTCTGGGATATTGTGTACTATTCTGTTTCTGGGTAAATTGTAACTGTTAGGCATAAATGGTTCTTAGATTTACTCTACAAAGATAAAGACTTTTCATCATGTGTTCAGTTTTTCATCACATGTTATTATTTTATAACTTGATAACCACGCTTCCCAGAAATCTGGGAGGCAGGAAGTGTTACTGTTACTTCTGTGGGGACTAAGAGTATTTATTACCACCTCTAGGTTTGCTCTGAGTGAAATGAAGAAGCAAAAACACCTGTTTAGGTAGATTAGGCCTAGCCAGAAACAAAAATTTGTTCAGATAACATTCCAAAGCTTTTACTTGATGCCAAGATTTTGTACAAGCAAAACTGTAAATCAACCAACAGAATTCACAGGATAGGCTATTTGGCTGTAAGTAAGAAGCCAGTGCCAGAAATAACCCTGTGGATACTTTTACATGTTTCAATGATCACACCCAAGATCATCAATTGCCCACAGACTCTAATAAACCCATCTTGAAAATGTCCAATGATGTAACACTTCTATTCCATTTATTTGACCATCTTGAATAGTCCTGTAGAGTATTTAGCTCGGACACAAAAATCTCAGGTGCCACTTAGAGGCAGGCATGTAACTTACACATGGAAAGTAAGAAGGCCGGGAACTCAGGATTCCAGCCAAGACCAGTGTAATAACTGCACCATTACTCCCCTGCAGCTGGTAGTGGCCATGTAAAACTGAAGACCTTGTGTGGTCTGCTTAAATCAGAATAATGAGCCCATTAAACTCATCATTTGGCTGGAATCCATGAAAGAAAGTTAGAAAATGTGAAAATCAATAGTTATTTGGGCACAGGTAAAAATGGAGAAGATTACATTTACTTATCACCTTTAGCTTTTCTTCCTTTATATTTTTATCGTGCATACATTTTATCACAGGCTGCTTAGCATTGCCTGTGTCCTTGTCCTCCAAGATTTTATAATTCACTAGAGGCCCGATGCATGAAAATCCATGCAAGAGTAGGCCTTCCTCCCCCCGGCTGCTGGCACCGGCTTCCCTCTGGTACCTGGGACGCAGGTTTCCCTCCAGCCACCAGCAGGCACCCGGGACCCTGGCACCGGCTTCCCTCCGGTACCTGGGACCCAGGTTTCCCTCCGGCCACCAGCAGGCACCCGGGACCCAGGCTGCTTCCCTCAAGCTCCAGCTTTGTCTGGAAGGATGTCCGGTCTGATTAGCATATTACCCTTTTATTATTATAGATGGGATAAAATATCTAGCACACAAACTGAAACAGCTTTCATATAACAAAATGAAATAACATTTGAAATGACTAGTTTGGGACCTATTACTTAGTAAATGCTCAATAAATGGCAGCAACACTACTCATTATTACTAATACAAATTAATATGTGGTAAGTTCCTTATGAGCAAATAAAAATGAAGTTCATGGGAGTTTGAGGGTAGAAAAGCTCACATTTGGACAGATGATCACTGAAGCTTCAGGGAGGGAAGAACTTCGAGTTTGACCTTCAAGTTGAGGACAGGCATTTCATGCTAAAGGAACAACAGCCAAAGCAGCAAGGTGGAAAAGTCAACTGGTATTCAGGACAAGACAAATAAGGCAGTTGGCCTACCATTCTTACCAGGTAAGAATGATCATTGGAGGCAAATCTGGAAAGGACATCAGGACCAGATAGGAAGTGCCAGGCTTTGTCACTTGGGCTTCCTTCTCTAGGCAGTGGGCAACCTTGAAGCCAGAGAATATAAAGGATTAGGGGAAAATAAAAGCTATTTTTTAATATAGATAGCAAATATTAAGTCACCTGTTCTTACATTTTCTTTGTGCTTTTTCTTTTGGTAAATAACTATTTCATGAAAATTACCTTTACTCTAGTCTTATTCTATATTAGGGGTAGGGAACCTTTTTTTCTGCCAAGGGTCATTTGGATATGTATAACATCATTTGCTTAATATAATTCACTTAATATAAATTTATGTTGCTATGAAAAAAGCTCCCAGGTTTATTGAATTTTTAATCCCGCCTGCAGTTGCCTTGGCAGGGCCAGACTAAATGATTCTGTGGGCCTTATAGGCCCGAGCACCAGACATTCCTCACCCCTGTTCAAAATGATTGAATTAGGAATATTTTTTTATTGATTACGGTATTACATATGTGTCCTTATCCCCCTATAACCCCCTCTTCTCCCCCCCACCTTCTATTCATGCCCTCACCCCCCTGGTGTCTGTGTCCACTGGTTATGCTTATATGCATGCATACAAGTCCTTTGGTTGATCTCTCCTCAGGAATATTTTTTGAGGACTACATAATTACTATTGTTTCTTAAGAAACTGCCCCTTTTGCCCTGGCTGATTTGGCTCAATGGATGGAGCATCAGCCTGCGGACTGAGGGGTCCCAGGTTCGATTCCCGCGAAGGGCACATGCCTGGGTTGCGGGCTTGATCCCCAGTGGGGGGCGTGCAGGAGGCGGCCAATCGATGATTCTCTCTCATTGTTGATGTTTCTATCTCTCTCTCCCTCGCCCATCCTCTCTAAAATCAATAAAATATATTAAAAAAAAAAAGAAAGAAACTGCCCCTTTCTAAACAACCTCCAAAACAGATGATGGTTCTGTCACTGGAGCCTGCAGACCTGGGCTCTGCTTCCAGCGTTGCCAGCATTCCCGCAGCCTTGGGAATATGCTTTTCCTTTCCTTGGCCTCAGTTTACACTAGATGGAATCTAAGTTCCCAGAAGAGCCAGACACTGTACCAGTCAGCCTGTCAGCAACATCTCTTGTCACCTATAATGTGCCATTGGGTATATGGGTCATCGTTAGACACACACATCTCAGGAGAACATCATTAGCAGAAATCAAATCTATTTTTCTTTGAAGGCAGTGTCTGCAACTGACTGCACATAATCTCTGGTTTGTGAAGAAAATTAAAAAGGAAAAATTTCCCTCAAAAGGGAAAAGAGATCAAACAACCTCCCCAGAGCAGGCAGAGCTAATTTGCATTCGAACATGCTCTGCTCTTCCATCACCATTTCTAAAGGTATGAAAGTAAGGAATTTTTCCTCATGGCTTTGATAGGTGCCCAATATCTATCTGAGGTACTTTGATGAGACATGTGCCTGTAGAATCCCAAGCATGTCTCCTTAACTTATCACTGGAGCACCCCAAAATACTTATGTGATAGCAAATTTGCCATAAATTGGTCCCAGCGGCAGTGATGGTCAAAAGATCAACAATTTAGTGTCAGCCTTTGCTCTTCATGAGCCCCTGTCTCTAATCGGGTCATACATCATTCTCACAAAAGGTTGGCCAAATGCTCTGGGAATTTGCTGTCCCTTCAGCTATAGGTAATGCTTATGTTAATCTGCTATAATTGAAACTTTGTTGATGCCAACTGTTTTCACAGCTGTTGCAGTTCCCTCAGGGTGTACCACCAGCCCCAACTTCAGCTGATTGAACCTCCTTAGTTAGAGTGGGGTTAGGACCAGAGCTTCCTGATTTAATCATCATTACAGTGCCTGGTAGAGAGAGGAAAGGAAAGAGCCTGTGCTAAGTGACCAGCCCTGTGCAGGCTCTGTTATATGCATTGATATCCCTTTTAATCCTCACAGTAATTCAGTAAGGTTAGAAGTCATATCTCAATTTTAGAGATGAGAAATCAGTGCCAAAAGGGATTAAGTAAGTTGCTGAAGGTTCCCCAGAAAATAAGACTTGAAACTAGTATTCTTGTCCAGAATCAAGCACCTGGGCTTTTATCACCCAGCAGAAAAAGAACAGATGGGCAAAATTATAATCAAGATCAATAGAAGGGTAACAGAAAAAAGGCAGTAGTAACTGGCACTTTTTAAACCAGAGGCAAAGGGTCCATGGTAGATGATTAGTTTTAAAATAGAAGTCAGTAAATATAATGGGTCTGCTATTAAATTTTTAAAAAATCACTTAAAAATAAAATATGAAATTTCCTAAGAAGGGTTAGGAAACGAATTGAGAACTTCAAGTGTCTGAGGCTGCTAAAATCTCTCTACTCCCCATCCGAGGTCATATTATATAGTAAGTGTATTCTAGATGACATTCAATGAGAGTTTACTATGTTCTGGGCACTATTTTGGGCTCTTCACTTCTATAAACTCATGGAATCCTCTAATTGTCCTGTGGGGTATATGTATATGCTATTATCATGGCCATTTTGTAGATGAGGAAACTGCGACACAAAGGGATGAAGTGACTTGCCCAAGATTATGCAGGAAATTTAGGTTGAATGAACCCAAGCATCTGTCCCTAGAGCCAGTGCTCTTAACCACCATGCTTACTGTCACTACCCTAGGAAGCACCAGCCCCATTTCCATCAATGATAAGACCAAAGGATCAGAAGAGGACACCAATGCTGCTATATACAATTACAATTTTTCTGATTAAAATTTCTGAAATGCCATCCCTATAGCTGCAATATGCAGGAGATCAAGTGGCTTCTTGTAAGATGCTCTATAGAATACCCTTATATCTGGACCAATCATGGGCAGCACTACAGCCAGACCTATTGCCAGAGATTGTTTTCTCTATATCTATTACTTGCTGCCCTCAAAGTCATCCCCACAAGGATCAGTGCCTGTGGTTATATCCTATGCAAAAGTTGATACAATCACCTCTTTCTCAATTCCTTTAGCAGAAGCTAAAATTCTAGTAAGAAATGCTCTTTTTTACTTTTATTTTTTGCAGTATATAGTTCTAAAAAGAAAAGTTGGTTTTGATGAGTGTGAGTTGGTAGTTTTTCTCTGTACTTTCCTGTGCACCTGAGCTGATTATGGCCATGGTATCTCACTGGATTTACTTGCCTGTCTCATTCTTTCTGTGATGAGTATGGCTTCATGTTTTTATCCCCAGATCCTAGCCTAGTGCCTGGCCGATTATAAGCACTCACTGTTTGTTCAATGAATTATAAGTTTAATGAGCTAAGACTCTTCCTGTCCTTCTAATTTAGGAGAAATTTCTTTAAACCAACTAATTCCCATAGCCAGGGAATGTCCAAGGACCCTAAGATTTCTGTCAACACCCATGGTCTTGCAATATCAGCTTCTAGCCCCTGTATCCACATGGGCACAGAACTGGTTATGAAAAACGATGAACCTCCATCAAGTGTTTTGCAGTCCGCCCTAACTGGTTTGGCTCAGTGGATAGAGCGTCAGCCTGTGGACTCAAGGGTCCCAGGTTCGATTCCGGTCAAGGGCATGTACCTTGGTTGCGGGCACATCCCCAGTAGGGAGTGTGCAGGAGGCAGCTGATCGATGTTTCTAACTCTCTATCCCTCTCCCTTCCTCTCTGTAAAAAATCAATAAAATACATATTTTTTAAAAAAGTGTTTTGCAATCCAAGTAAAAATATTCTGCTAATTTAGGAGGAGATGTTGGTAGAGAAGGGGAGTCTCATCTTGGAGCCCAGGAGATGTCCCACTGACTCTCTGCATTTCTCTCTCTGCCCCACCCTATGAAGCAATAAATAATTTCATCACCTTGTCCCACCTCCTAAAGAACAGTTCCAACCACACCAAACTCCTCAAGATTTCACAGTCCACCTCAAGTACTTAAGGTTTTCTTCCAAATAATGCAGGTGCCCATCTAGGCATAATTCGGTCTCTGTGTTTTAAAGGGTAACTTTTTAAAACTCCTTGCAGAGTGAATTAAAAGAGGAAAAGATACGGTGACCACCCTCTTGCTTCTTCCTTCCTCTGGCTCCTCCAGTTTAGTTTTTCAAAATAACGATATTATTTTGCACAACCGTTTGCACTTCCTCTATTGCTACAAAGTCTAATGTGGCTGCATGTGGACAGTCTTTTGTTCCTAGTGAAGAGACATTATGTAAGAGGAAAAAATTATAGCCCACATTTTTTAATACTCGCTATATATCAGGGACTGTTATAAATTCTTTATATACATTATTTGATCTAAGCTGGCTTACAGAGGTTACAGAACTAACAAGTGATGGAGTCCGGACACTCAGAGTCATCCTATTCTACAGCCCTTACTCCTGAGCACTGTGGCACACACAGTGCCACCATGGTGAACTCCCCTGAGTCATCAGAGTGAGCCCTGAGGAAACATTGCCCTCCCTTTCCTGCTTTCCTATAATCACTGGAGCAATAAATAGAGAAATATGGAAGAAAATACAGATTCTCAAAGTAAGTTGAACAATACCATAGTAGTTTCTTCTTATGGGGGGAATTTAAGACCACTCCCATGGAGAAGATGAGAGAGAACCAACCAGTTGGTTTACATTCCCGGTGCTAGTTTTAAATGGAGCCATAGACTGGGACAGACACTTAATGAGCTCTCCTCTTCAAAGGGGACCAAAACTGCTGCAGCAACTTGGTGCCTTTTGGACTTCAGCTTTTAATGAGAATCTCGCTCCCACATACACATACACACTCCTCACACTCAAATACCACTGGACCAATTTGTTTTGATTTAGTTTGCATTAGATGGATTTACTGGGGTGAGAACAGGGGAGAGGGGGAGAGAGGTGGTTAATGTTTCTTGTTATACTTTAGTCTATGTAGCAAGAATGATTCATTTTCCTAATAGCTACAAATTTCTTTTTGTTACAGAGGTTCACCCGATAGAGATGGAATTGTAAGTATTTAAATGATCATTTTTAGTAGGTTTGCACTTCAATATATGCTATGTTTAAATTTCTTAAAGCCCCATTGCTTTTCTTTTTTGTTTTCTATAGGGAAAAAGTAGCTTAAATGGCTTTTCAGACCTCTCACTGTTATAATATTCTGTAGGAATTGCATGGGACATACATGCAGTCTTGGTCAAGTTAAACTTATTTATTGTATTCACCTAAAACCCTGCCCAGATTAGGCAAGCAAACTAGGCATCAGTATGGTGGGTCACAAACCAGACAGTTCCTGCAGGGGCTGCTACCATCAACTGTTATTTCATGTCCAACTTAATGATATAAAAGCTCGTTATGTGAGAATGTTTTTCTCTAACAGAGGCCACAAAGTCATAATGGAGCTGAGCTCCAATAAAATTGAAAGAAACTTTCCCCCTTTTGTAGTTGAGCTGCAGATACATTTTCTATATTAAATTCACAAGTAGGGAATGGTCTTGAAACCACTTACGCCTGAATTTACAGCCTGAAGGAGGAAAATGCATCCACTGGGTTTAGATTTAACAGTAACTCTGACTCCTTGCTGGTCACCAGATTTCTTGATTTTTAAAGAAGTCTGTGGTGCCTTGGCTTGGATTTATCTGAGTTGTGCTTATGGGAGTCTGCACCCACTTCTAAAATGATTTCTTTCAAATCTAAATCAGATGCCTATTCATAAGGTTCAAAAGAACAGCTGTTACTGGCGGGGGGGGGGGGGGGGG